CATTGAATTATTGGAAATGGTTCAGAGAAAGGTTACTAGAATGGTGCCAGAGATGGAGGGATTGTCATACGATGAGAGGCTGAAATCTCAAATTGTTTTCTTTTGAAAAAAGAAGAATTAAGGGGGATCTGATTGAGGTGTTTAAGATTGTAAAGGGGAATGATAGTGTTGATGCATCATCTTTTTTAATATTTAACAATGAGAATAGTGGGACTAGGGGCCACACATATAAATTTTGGCAAGGTAGGAGTCATCATCAGCTAAGACAGCTTCATTTTTATAACAGGGTGGTTGGCCTTTGGAATGGATTGCCTTCATATGTTGTAGAGGTAGTAAATTTAAGTGAGTTTAAGAAAAAGCTTGATAAGTATCTGAATGAAAAGAGCTGGCTTTAAGATTTATTTTTTAAATCATTTTAATTTAGTTTAGAGGATGGAATAGCTGATACAGACCAATAGGTCCCATGTTGTCCCAAAACATTATGTTATGTTAATTAGTTTCCTTTTACTTGGTGCATCACATAATTACACCCTCGCATGGTATTTGTGTATTCTGCTAATAGGTATTGATGATGTTATGTCTCTGCATCCTATTTTGTTTTCTTTTCCTTGGATATCATTGGGGCTGTCAATGCAATAGCTGATGATGCAGGGTTGATGGCATGGCTGCTGCTGACTCAGTACCCCATGTTGGCACTGGAATGGCACCAGTTTCTATTTGGACCTTCAGATTCTTTCATAATTTTGCTGTCATGGACAACCAACCCGAGTTACTATATCTTTCCTACCAGTCATGAAACTTATTGCATCAGATAAACACGAAAAGTAATGTAGACAAGAGACTAAATATTTACATTTCTTGTTATTCAATCCAAAATCTTTACTTGTAAGAAACAATTATGCTCTCGTATGGCCTAAATTCATGTATATAAAATTTAATATATAAAGCTAAGTTTGTGTCTGTTTGCACCTTTCAGCTCCTATAATAGTAGGCCTATAAAGATATGGAATCAGCATACTCATGTTAAATTGTCTGTGATGTCACATTTTTAGTGTCAATGAAAACTTTGTAATCTAATTTTTTTCCACAGATTTTTGGTATGATTTAAGTGAAAATGATGTCAAAAAAATGTATGTCCATTTTATAGAGAGGTGTGCTGCCATTGTGGTGTCAGAATAAAACTCCATCAAACTGTCGTGTCTACTGATAAGCAAGACTAACATTTGTATAGAAGAACAGACAAGTTGAACCCACGAAATTTCTGAAAAAAAATAAATTGGTTTTTATTCACTTTATTTTGGGAGGGGAGTTAGGTATGATAAACATTCTGATGCTGAGAGTAAAATGTCAAGAAAAAGAAAAAACAATTCTGATTGCCAATAACAAGCAGCAAAATGTATGTAATAAAAGAGACAGAGTTATATTCCACAAGAAAGGGAAATACAACTTGACAGCCAACGAAAACTACAAGCTGTTCATTGTCAAGCCAAAACTGAGCAAGAGGGACAATTTCACAGAGATAGTGATAGCATCTGCTATGCAGAGTGCCATTCGCAAGAACACAAGACCTTTGTTGGCGAGGGAATTCAGAAAGATATCATTCTAATCAAGGTTTGAACTGGGGAAAATATGACCATTTGATACTTATTGTTACATGAAAAACAAAATTTTTGATCCTCTTTGTTTAAAAAAGAGCTAAATGTCGGCCCTTTGTTTGGGTAATGCCACGTAAGGACGGCTAGTCAGATATAAACAAACCAGTCTATGTATAATTAAAAATGTATATGTTATAGCAAGTAACTCAATGTTTTATATATATGTTAATCAATACATGCTTGTAATACTTGACATCACCGTTTAGAGGCAATTCTGACAATCATGGCAGCCAGTGTCAGTTGTTCTTCCCATGTTTTGGAGCACTTATAGTCTTAAGGCAATACGTAATGAGTTGAAACAATTACAAATAAAATAATATTATTAAAACACAAGAAATTGTAGATAAAAATAAGTAAAAGTGGTCATTCTCAGCATAATCGTCTGTCCAGATCACATTTTGTGTTGTCAACTACAAAATGTATATGTATATATATATATAGACACACACACACACAGTTCAGTATAATAGAAGTACCAGGGACAAGGCAAAATTGCTTTCACTGTCATAATGGAACTACCAGTCCATGCTGCTATACCATTCCAACTCTGCTACCATTTTGGGGTTGTGAAAATTCACTGCATCAGATAAACATGATATATAATGTAAACAAGAGACTATCAGAAATGATACACACACTGCTAAAATTCATACAGTCCATGTACATTGCTCATACTTTGTTAGTGTATAACTCTCTTATCAGACATGCGGCAGCACTGTCTGTGTAGGGATGGCATGGATTGTTCATGAAAATGTTATTTTAAATATCTTCTCAATGTGTCATCAGAACTTTACAATACTATACAGTGTTTCCTTTTATAACAATATCTATGTAATGATTCAGTCACAAGTTCTGGGAATGTCTGTAAATATCATAACCAAATATTTAATTTCTTGTTCATCTTTCTTCTGCTTCTTTTTTTTATTATATGATAACTCAAAAATCAAAACAATGGTGTCATCCAATTTTACTGAGGTGACATAATTTCAAATGGATTATCTGCTTTTATAAGTATTATTAATAACTAGTAGTAATTTTAAAATAATTATAATAAAAAGTTAACATTACTCCTTGAAGTTGGCTTTCTTACAGAAATTTGATGTTCCTTCAAAAAGCTTAAGTACAGGGTGAAACAGGAATTACCAGCCAGTAATTGATAAACTGTAAACATTACAATTGGAATCTCATTGTATTTATAATTACAACCTTCCTATATCTATTGAAACACTGCATTAAAAAAACAAGTAAAGAAAAACTTTTCAAAAAAGGAAGTAAATGTTGGGATGGCTAATATCAATCCTTCAAAAGAAATGAATTGTTTTTGAAGGATTGGTATTAGCCATCCCTAAATTTATTTTCTTTTTTTAAAAGTTTTTTCTTTACTTGTTCTTCTCCTTGCACTTTTGGAATACTGGTTTGAATTTGTCATACTAAAAGGTATAATATTGCATGGTGAAACAACATATGCCCATGACTGCTTACATGCAAGAAGAACTGTGGAAAAACAAATCCTTGGTTGTGGCACCAAATTCTGGCTTAATAAACTTAGCTTATGATATTCATGTACTCTGATGTCATACAGGTAAGTTATAAATATTAATGAAATGGTTTATGAAAGAATAAATTGAACATTGAAAGCAAAAGGGAACAAAAATTATTTATTCCATACACTTAAAAATATACAAAATTGCTGACCTCTTCTAAGTATGTTTTATAGAACTTCTGTGGCTGCTTAAGATGGAGAGAAACATCTCAAGCAGATGAAGACTGGAGCAAAAATAATTTAACTCAGAGCAAAGATTCTTTGTGCAAAATTAGATAATCTTAGATCACAAATGTCAATGATAATTTCTAATGTACATTCAAGGGAGCTATACCTGCTGCTCCCACTAATTTGTAAACACTTCTGAATTGCATATGAATTTGTTTTTGACCAACATCCCAAAGGAATAACAAGAAAGAGCAAGTATACAATTTTATAGTTATTGCTATAGTTTATAAGCTTTGTCTAAGATAGAGGATTAATGTAAGTTTATAACTTTAAATCCAACTTAAAGGGATGTTAACTAACAGTGCAGAATGCTTGCAGAAAAAATGTTTTACATATTTATGTGAATACATCTAAGTAAATATGTGTTCATTTCTAAATTATGAAAGTGTAGAATGCAGCATATCCCTAACTCCTTTTTCATTGGAGGACTTAAACATGATTTTTTATACCTTTTAAATGCTGTATAATGTAACTAAACTTTAATCATTACAAGGCCAACTGCTGTTGTAGGTTTAAAAGAATAATATGTTATTTGTGTAATTTGGTTGTATGTAATAACTTTCACACTGACAACTGAAATATTATACAAACAAAATATTATTTTAAACCCACTGCAGAAGCTGGTCTTGTAATGTTCATTTATACTAGTGTGATCCTCTAAACTTATAATGTAAGTAAACCATATTTCTCTTGCAATATCAGCATGAACTGTGCTATTTAAAACCCAAACATAATTTTAATACCTTTTAATTGCTGTATGACTAAACCTTGTTTCATCTGGTACATCAAAATCTATGCTTAGTAGAAGACTTCAAGATTATTTTTTCCACATTTTATGTTAAAAATGTAAGATTAGTCAATAGTATAAACAAGTGAAAATATATTTGGTAATTAAGTTCAGGCCATTCTCTAGTTCACAAAAAAATGCGTTCTTTTTGTAGTTAAATCTTTGGATGCTGATTGTTACCAACCCAGTACACTGTGCCAGAAGAACTTTTTAAAACAAGTCTTTAGGTTCTAAACCAGCATGATCTGAAAAAAAACTGAAAATTATTTCGATCCTGGTGTCTCATGCTAAAATCCTCCAATTAGAGAATTGTTTTTTCATTTAAGAAAATTTGAATTGCTTTGATTATTTGCCTATGTATGTGTATATGAAAATGAAATTAACACTGATATATTAAATCTTACTGCTTTTCTTTACGTTTGTTTCAGAAAGACTACTGTAAATATTCGTTGTAAGAGTAATTTATGGCGAGTCTTTTTTTTAACAATAAGAATGGTACTGATAAGATATTTGGCAGAAAATGTATTGCAGAGTTAATATGAATTTTAGAATTGAGGATGATAGCTAGGCACAAGGCTTAACAGGAGACAAAAATACTATTTATTACATGACATTTAGACAAATAAAATGATCCAATCGGCTAAACGTGTGCACTGAAAGGCGGGACATTTGCCATCTACGTCAGCTAGTTATTCCCATTAGGAAAATTGGTAAGGCAGTCATCACGTATTTCTAAACCGTTACACAACTGATGCGACTAGAGCCCATTAATATAAGCCTAAAAACATTATCCAGCCACATAATCCGTGGGAAGGTCCAGAAATGCCAAATGGGGATGATTCTTGCTGTATATGACGAACAAAATAAGATCATTCTAATCCAAAGTTCCATTATCTGCGAGCTATACGTTAAGATTTGGTAAACGATATACGTCCACTTTTCTAATTTGAAAGAAAACAAACCTAACATTTTTCACAAATCCAGTCACTCTGAACATGTTGCCTGATGGTGGTGATTTTTCATAAAGTGCCGTTCATTGCCAGAAAAACGCGCTCTGTGGTTGCTCAGTTAAAGGAGTGCCCGTCAAATTCCACTGTTCGGTCAGACAACACTTGACAGTAGGTGACGTTAACTAGTTGCCGTTCCTCAACTTGTTCAGTTCGAAGAGTATTAGCTATACGCAGATAACATTTCTGTAGCTTTGCGCAAAATTCTGAAACAAGCAACCATAAAGTACCCTCACGGCTCAAACTTGTACTTGTTATAATTGTTCTTTTCATTGTAAGGCAGAGGTTTTTCAGAGAAAACTTCCACTGGAAATAATATTTAGTTGAAAACATTGAATTCTCTATATGGAAACCACAGTAACTTTAGTTTAAGTAAACACGTAAGTTAACTTGACACCAATGTTTGTTCTAAACCGAAAACGTTATGATTATAGTTTGTTTTTTTTCTTATGAATTGTATTGATTCCCTATAAAAGCTCGGATTAGGTTTACAGTAAAATTAGTTTAACTTTGATATAGGTACTATTCACTTATTGCCAAAACTGAAATATTTTTGATTCTAATAGTATTACTCTTTAAAAGGCACATAATTTAGAAAACGATAATCTAACGCTTTTCTAACCGATATTTACGTATGCGTAATTTTTGGTATAGGTAAAGCACCAAGTGATTTTATATACGATATCGTTAAACAACAATATTTTGACATTTAATTTCACGTAAGAAACGGCGCGTAGCAAAACAATATAATGGCCCGGTCAAAACATGACGACTTAGCCTTTCTCGAGTGTTGTTTAACCCCTAGTACTAACCTGTTTTTTACGAGCCGATGAACTCGTAGATTGTTCGTTCTCACACGATAAACAACAACAATGGATATCATGGAAATGAAAACGTTTTGCACCTGTTATTGTAAATTAACGCACTCGTTGAGAAATGGTTTATTAATTTTTTGATGGTTTTTTAATTGTATAAAAACTAATTTAAGAAATATCAAACCAACTGAAGACAAGCCCAATATGACGTCATAGCTGTGAACCCATAAAAATGGACATAAGGTCACATCGAGTGACGTCATATGGCTGTAGTACGCTTGGCAAAATACATTTAATGGTGTTTCATAACCCAGATAACCGAATCGGTGCGACAGAAATGTCAAAGATAGAAGAAATTAATATCAACGTTTAACGAGAAGAACATGTAACTTACAAACTCTCAGCGTGACAGAAAGGATTGAACATATGAAGGAAAACTTGACCACGTAACTTCGAAAAGGTGATTTAAGAAGTTAGCTAATACAAATGTTCGTAAGATACTCTAGTTTTTCACGATTGTTAATTATATACGTCTGTGGTATAGCATTGTGGTTAACTAGTTCTAAAGGCCTCCCAGCACCTAATACTGAAGACAGACAAGGCAGTGGATCGTACGAGCCTGTTATTGTTGTATATCACAATGAAAGAACTGTTGCTAAGGTGGAGTATCTTGATACAACGCGCACTAAAATCCAGAAATGCAACCTCTCTGAAATTGAGTAAGTATTAAAGTTGTCCTTTAAGTTTGTTACTAGGCTTCAAGAAAATATTTATAGGAATGATTGCTGATAATTATTCCAGGTTCTTTTAACGTGTGAACTAAAGCTTGACTCGGAGATTTTTATTCATTTTATTTATAATCTCCCAGATCAGTGTTGAGTGTGTATCACCACAGAGTAAAGTATTTATTTCAACATCACTAATTCTGTTGAGAGTCCACAACAGGAAACTATAACTAATTAGAATATGTTACTATATGTGGGTAGTGTTTGAAAACGATGAAAAAGAATCATACTACTGACGTCATAGAACAATCAAGGGAAAAATAACTGGCAGGAAAATTGACATTCAACATTTTTGCATAAACATTATATAATTGTAATAATCCACGATTCGGGGTTTGTTACTTGACTATGATGAACAATAATGGTAGACAGGAGAGAATATTTTTGATCAATGAACTTGTATACGTGTAACTGAAGCAATAAATAATAAAACCAAATGATAATAGAAAATATTAAATACCTTTGAAATGAATAATGGTTGGAGACCATTTAAGTTTTTAAGTCTACATTTTGTCTTAGTTTCTACATACAATTTAGTGAGAATTCCGGTGTAATCTATTATAAACTCAACATTTCAGAGGTTCGATGACGAGGAACCCACTTTGAGACTAATAATGGTTGAAGACGGCTTGAATGGGTAATGAAGAAAAACTTTAATATAAGTTTAACATAACAGCGAATGTACAACGTTTCGACAAGGTTTTGTCATCACCAGGTACAAGTAATTTACACTGACATGGATATATATATATATATATATACAGAATTGAACAAAGAGGTCACATGATCGGAACTGTTGCAAAACTTAGAATTAGGTAGTATCTAGGCGCCCCGGGGTGTTGATTTAGAGTAGGGTTGTTTTGTTCAATTAAGATGGATTCCTTGATTTTTCGTTTGTTTATGTTGGGTTCTTTGTTTAAAATGACAGTGTTTTTAATAGATATACTATGGTTTTTTGAGTTGCAATGGTGAACATGGGACGGTATTTTATTGTGTTCTGTCAATCTGGTTTCTGATTTTCTTCCTGTTTCTCCGATGTAGAATTCTGGGCAGTTATTGCATGTTATTTTGTAAATGACGTTGGTATTGTATGATTCTAGTAACGATTTTAATTTAAAGCCTGGTTTTTGTAAGAATTTAACGTTGACGGGAATATTGTGTTTACTGGCTAGTTTAGTCCAAGTGTGGATAATTCTTGAGCTGGTTTCAGGAACAAAAGGTAAATTGCAGTGTAATG